TTTACAGGATAGGTACTACATAGCAATTTAAACACTGAATGGTGTCTGTTCATGCAAAAAAAGTTTTACATATTGTTTCTTAAATAAATGCGTTAAGGTCATTAATCATCAAACTAAAAGTGGAATCATTATACTTTTTAAATGTATTTCACTAAATATCAACAGTAAATTTAAATTAGTTGAACACGTTCTTAAAATTGCCTATACTGAACCCCTTTAAAAAATAGTTGAATAATAATTTATTGTATCGTGGATCGTATAGGGTCTACACTTTAAGCGGATAGTGCACGTAAATAAATGGATTTAAAAAAAAGTTCAAATTCTTCATATCAAGAATAAAAATCATCGTTCTATGAACTATAATTTTTAGTTGTTAATTAAATTCCTTAGTAAATAATTTCTATGAAAATTATAAAAATTCCAACTTTTACTACCTATATTTAATAATACACACACTCTTTAAAGTTTTTTTTTTTTTTAAATATAAATTTCATTATCCCATAAAATAATTGACTATGAATTTATGAATTCCATTTACTTAATGGTCTACCAAATATTAATTTCGTAGAAATCACATTTTTATAACTAAGTAAATTCATGAAAATAAAATCAAATTATTTTATACTTCTTATAAATAAGTAAATTTCTAATTGAATTTATCCCTACTAAATGCTATAGCTGGCTAACTAAGCTTATATGTGACCTCTAATATACGAAGTAAAATAATTACCAGATATAAATAACAAATGTTATCTATTAACTTTTGAAATTTATGAAATTCGTAATAATTAGTTACGAATTCAAAGATTCGACGTATGTAATATCTATTTTAAATATATATTGTGTCTATGTATAATAACAAAATGTAAAAACTAACAGGTCGTGTATGAGTACTATAAAAATACATTTGCTATGCTGTCGTGAGTTATTTCAAAATGCTTTAAATTTTTAATTTTATCGAAACGGGAACCACTTTACATTGAAAATATGGCTAAGGATTATTATGATTTTATCATTTATAAGTTAGCTCAGCAGCTACATAGTATGATGATTATATTTTTATATAATTCGAGTATAAAAAGTATTTACAAAATTGTACATTAAAATACACACAAAATACAAATTGAGACCAATTCGTTACTTTAATTATTTTTTATTATTATTAATATAAGACACTTTTAGTGATTATTGTATGTTGATGATTATTGATTACTTGATTAGGTACAATAAATTTAATCTTAGTCGTCTATAATACTCAAAACGTGTTAATAAATAGCAAATATATAAAATAAATATAATAGTTACAGAATTTTAAAGAATACCTACTAATATTATTATTATGTATTTTAAGTTCTCGAATGTCGTATGTAAACCATGCATGCATGTATGCAATTATTGCAATTTACTTCAAAACGTTTATTTTTAAACTGTTTAATCGACAGTGTGGCTTTCTTACATAACTGTTACATGATAATACAAACGTAGCATCTAACTGAGTAGCATTTGTAAAAATTACAATCAAATAATACAGAATTTTTAGTAAAAATTTTAAATTATAAATATATCTAATATTATAGTATAATTATTATTAATAATATAAATTCTATATATATTTTACAGATAATATAAAATCATATATTTATAAGTTTTTCTGCTTTATTTATGTATTCGATGTTGGTGGGTATTATTATTTATTTATTAGTAGGGCTAGAATTTTAATGAATTTATACAACTCTTATATTATGTATATAAATATGTGACAAAAAAAATTGAAATATGTAATATTATGTATAAATATGATTTATTTATTAAATGTATAGCCATTATTGGGAGTACTTGCATCGAAAAATTCTATTAAAAAATAGTAAGAACATTAATTAGAGTATCTTAAAAATTAAAAATAAATTTTTATACTTATTTAAAAATATTTTTTTTATGCTTAATGTGTACAAACATCTAAGAAATACATTCTGACTAAATCACCAAACAAACATGCATTACGGTTCGTCGCATATTTTTCGTATATCAGCAAAGACAGCAATACAAATTCGAGACGATAATTATAGGATAAAATATTATTTAGAAATACGCTGACAATATGTATTATATTAGTCTAAATTCTAGGTGAGTTGTGGTTGGCAACCTTTTTGGACTATCGGGCCACAATCACAAATTAAAAAGAGTTCGCGGACCAAACAAAAATAAAGGTTTTATATTTTTAAATTCTTTACTACGAAAAAAATAAATATTTTGTTAAACTTTAATATCATATAAAGTATAAAAAAAAATTCGTCGTTCTAGAATTTAAAGCGGACCCTAACCTAACCCGTGAAATATAAAATCAAATATAGATAGATCATTAATCAAAAATCACGTGAAGTTAATACTTATCACTTGCCTAAGCGGCTGAATTAATACATCATATAAGTCTCTTCATATTATATTATTTACCTATATTGTATTTATATATATTTATATTATATACATTTAACTAGCGTACAATTTATATTGCTATCTATAAAATAGATAAATGAGTTTTATAGTCATGCGTATACTCAAAGGATACTATATATTAATATTGTTAAATCTTAATATTTTTTAATGTAGTAATGAATAATAAAAGCATACTAGTTATACCAATTAATATAGCTTTGACGATTCGTTCGTCGTAAATATTACGTTTATGAAAATTAATTATGAATTTTTTTTCTAATTAAAAATTTCGGTCTGTAACGTTAGAGTTCCGTGTGAGCTAACAATGCCGCGTCGGTGATTTCCGTAAGAAAAATACGCCGAGAACGCATCGGTTGTGGCACGGTGTATAGCGGTGGCACTAAAGTGACCTTGAATTGGTATCACCGCCGCCGTAATTCGCACGTCGCGTGTATTTTTGTCGGTCGCTAGCGATTATCCGTCGCGTATACGTTAGAGACTTAAGAGGATGCAAAACATCGACGTGGTTTATTACTGCCGTCTCTCGTACGCGAAACACATTAAATAATTTATACATATTAAACGTATTTTAAGTATAACCTATATACTTAATAATAATAATAATAATAATAATAATAGTAATATAATACAAGCAATTATAATGTAATTTAGCGAAAACAATGAGTTCGCTGAAGATCTGTAGCCTATATTAGTACATACTGCAATAGTTATTAATTGATACGATGATATAAAATTTTAAAGTGATTTACTACAATACTTAAACATGCCTAAATTATTAGAACCAATCGATTTATCTAAAATATGAATACTAAATACTAATAGCAATAAGTATTCTGAAAACTGAGATTTAAACGTTTCGAGTAAGTACTTAACTTCAGATGATTGACTCTCTTACGTTTTCGATTTAATCTCTATGATAAAAACAGCGTCATAGTCAATTTTTTCTTAGTAAACTTTGACACCTTTATATAAGTTATCACCGTTGTCGTGGATATTATTTTTAAACATAATATAACTTAATAATATAAATTATAGTATTATAAGTTATAACGTATATAGTAGTTTTTTACAATTTTTTTTTTTCAAACAACATTTTTGATGGCGCCGTTATATCTAAGCAATTTGTTTTTCACGAGTTTCGTGTAGAAAACGATTATTCAACAGTTTTCTAAATAAAATACTATTATAATACTAGTTCACTAAAAACCAGCAATACGATAACTAATTTACTACGACGGATATTAATCGTAGAAATAATGGCGACTGACGAGTAACAGACCATAGCCATCCAGTATATTATTTTCGTTGACTGTTTCAACCACACGATTTCGTCGTATTAAACTGCTTTTTTCGATTAGCGTTTACGGCTGCTGCAGATGTTTGTGCGAACCCATTTTTGCCACGATGTAATACGAGCGAGTGTGATGGAGATTGCAAATGTTTGGTGGTAGTGTGCGTGCTTTTTATAACAACATTGGGCAAAAGGATCACACGAGGCCTGCTGCTCTGTGCCCGACACCCACCACCCACTGCACGTAACATATATATTATATTATCGTGGCAGTTCACGGCCAACGAGAGGGTCGCAGTCGCCACGGGTTCCGGATTGTTCCAAAAATGGGGGAGCGTTTGGGATTTTATCGATTGGAGCGATGAGGCTCTAAGTTGTATCGGTTTTAAACGCTGTTTTTGGTTTTAGATTCATTTAAATTATATACATTTATATAATATATCGTCGTGCTCATTATACGTAGTTAGGTGGCGGCTAGTTTATTATAACAGATACAAAACGGTGACGATTTCAACTACGACAATAATATAACAACAATAATAATCATAACAACTCGCGGGTTATAATCAACTCAACAGGTAAACATATCGCATCAACGAGACGAAGACGACTAGGTACGGTCTAATAGCAACGAATAATAAATATAGATAATAGACAACTGCAGAGTGCCGCCGTGTGTGTAAATAAATTGTAGAGGGGGATCTCTGTTTTAATATTATTATCACAGATTTCTGTAATACGGTAAGGCTTATGTAGAGAGGAGTAGAAAAGAAGTATAGATGTATAATAGTTGTACGTGAATTTAATACATCATAATATTATATTGAACGCGGACGTGAAAAGACGTTAATATCCCCCGCCGTGATTTTTGCGCAGTTGCCGTGTCGTCGCCGGAGTGCCGGACCAGCATCAGATGGTCTCTCCGGTCCGGTCTGGTGCGGTCGACGCTACTATGACGATGACCAAGCACGTTACCACGGTCCACGAAAACATCGAGTACCAAAACACTGCCACAACGAAACCTACCTACCTACCTACCTACCGACTATAATAATAATAATAATAATAATAATAATAATAATTTAATATAATACTGTATTATAAGTTATAACATTATAGGTAGGTAAGACCATCGCGTCGTAGTCTCCGCATTTGTTGTTCGTCGGGTGTGAGCGTGTATGTGCGTGCGGCGATCGTGATCGTGTGCGTGCGGGCGAACTACCGACAACAAACGCGCCGCAGTGGTTGCATCGGTGCGTTCGCAGTCAGTTTTACGCCGACCGCACAGCAGTGTACGCGCATTCTGCCGTTGGCAGTTCTCTCGCCGTCCGTCAGTCCGTCAGACCGCCTCTCGTTCTCCCCTCCCCGTCTTATCCCCACCCTTATACAACCCACAAACACTCGTCGACCGACCATCACCCCCGTCGCACGGGACGCGCTCTGTCACTCGCTAACCGTCGTCTCCCTCTTCGGCACTGCAGCCGTCACTCTTTTGTCTTCCGCCGTTGCGCGAACGCTAGAGAGAATATCCCCAAAAACCACGCCGAGTCTCTTTCCGTCACCGGTCATACGCCGCAACGTTTTGCTGTTGCAGTGCCACATGGTTCTAACCTCTCCCGAAAAACAACTGAACGTTCCAGAATCGAATCGCTCTTTGCGGTAGAAGAAGACCTGTTTGCTGCAACGGATCCACCGTCGCCCAACAGAACCACGCAGAGTGTCGAGCCACATTTGCTGTACCACTGTGACTTGTGAGTACGATTTACACCCTATATTATATTTTATTATTATGTTACTTGTGTAGTATGTACGTGTGTAGCCGCCGCCGGTGTGTTTATTAAAATAATATTTGATAATACCTTGTTAAGTTAACTGACTTAACCGTGTATACTTACCATATTATATTATTGCGGTGACATCGTTGTACCGACTCCAGCGATTTTCCAGTCTCGTCTTGCCTTTAACCTTCCTATAATATATTTTTTTCGTTTTTTCGAAAGTCCCTCGTGTTCGATCTCTCGGTCCGCGTCGCCTCGCTGCTCGCTCCCTCCCGACAACGACGCCACCGCCGCGTTCTTCTGCCACGAGGTACGAGAGAAAGTATAATATAATAATAATAATAATAATAGCGTACCTACCTATTTAGGCACTTGTGGTAAAAAAAAAAAAAACCTGTCAAATAAATGAGTTGTAACAAACCTATTATTATTATTGTTATTGTTTTAACATATTTTGTGTTATTTTATTATGCTGAGCGATTTTATTTCTGGGTTATGAGTTTATGACCATCAGTATCATACATTTGTTGACTACTACTTTTTTAATGTACGGGTAGCGTACCTAGGCATAGTGTTGCATATCTAGTTATACATTATAATAGCGTAATTGCAGTTTTGATTTCAAATAATAGTAATAAATTTTCGTTAAATAGATAGGTGGTAACCTGTAGCGATTCAATAAGTATAGTAATGTTATATTATTTAGTTGGTATAGTTATAAGTTGTACTTATAATATATTTTACGATACGCAACGGGTAACCTGTCTATAATATACTATATTATATTTACGATAGGTGTTTTTCTCACACGTACGCCACTACCGTCTACCGCGTCTATTGTCTATTATTTGTTAGTAGAATCAGTAGTTCAGCCGGTTTCAAGGGTAAGTCGGCCGCTTGTGCTAATTTATTCTGATCGACCAAATACAGGAAATCTTTTTTTGAAGCTATTTCCCCACCGATCGATCGCAAATCGCACTCGCTTATGGCATATTATTATTATTATCATCGTCGTTTTAATGAAAATTGCCGTGTTTTCTAGTTATATTTTTTCCTATCGCAATATCTAATGTACACTAAACTGTGTGTGAGAAAAGAGCGACGGAAAGAACCGTCGAGACTTTTCGGGAATTATAAAACGTTCTCTTAAACACTTGGAATACTATGTATTCTCTTAAGCCCAAGTGATGGGGAATTTTTTTTAAATTTAATTTTTCGTTTTCCTGTTATTGTTACCTATTATTATTGCTTGAATATTATAAAATGCATGTTGTGTTACTGTAATTATCACGTCATATTGATAATAAAATAATATTTTAATAACATTATCTATGAATTATTATTATTATTATTATTATTATTATTGTTAATAATCTTTCAGTCAAAGGATGTCTTGTATGTGTGTGTCATTAATGACATCATCAAACATTCAAACCAGTTGTAATGATTGGGACAAAGCTAGTATTATATTCTAGACTTTAACCCCTATATAATATTTTATTAGTTAAATGATAATTTTACCATTGCACATAATATAGGTATTTATAACGGAATCGGGTTTTCAGTATGTATTATCGTTTTGTTGAACGATTTAGATTAGAAAGAGTAATCTGTCTATCTACCGTTATGGCGTTACTGCCTTACAAAATATTTTTTTTGTCATAATGACGCGTGGACGTGTGGGGTCCATTGAATCATAATAACTATTATGCCAAAATAGTCATGAAAAACTTCACTTTGATTGTTATATAACTTTTAAAATTTCATAATTAATTCAATATTTTTGAATCGTATTTGTATCTATTAATCAAGTATTAATTTTTCTCAAGATCAAATTGTTAATTTATAAAACCCTTTTAAAGAAACATTTCTCTTGACTGTTGTCTCCGCCTAATCTACATACAACATAGCCAATTTGTGTTTAGTAAAATCCATTTTATGTTGTTAACTTTAATATTGTTGTACATTTACTTATTTTAAAACTTAAAGTAAGAATATTATCTAGAAAATCTCATAGGATTTTATTAATATCATAATTTTAAAACGAGTTATGAGCATTTTGAAGTTATAATATTTTATATAGTTTGTAACTCACTTAAAATAAAAATATTGATAAAAATCTATGTGATGTCTTAGAATTAAAGGCTTAGATGATACTCTTACCTTTAAAATTGATAATAGATGAATTGACCATAATATTTAAGTTAACAGTATAAAATGGATTCTGTTGAACGTAAATATGTTATGTCGTACATCATTAAGACAAAAACGCCATACCTACGCATGTAAGGCGTACTTTTAAAATCTATAAGGACCTAGCATCTGTAGCTTTGAGGAAGTGCTTTAACATAAATAAAATGCAGATCTTTTAAAATGATACCATCAGAAAATGAATTAATTCCCTCCTTATATATCTATATACTCCATAAAGATGGAAAAATAATGCTATAGTACATAGTGAAAATAAGTTTTTCTATAAAAGATTTATGTTAGGTAATAAACTACCTCACTATCTCAATGTTTTTATCAACAATTATTGTCCATTTCCATTCCATGAATTTCTTCAAAATGTGTAAAGCGTGTGATTGGTACCGCAATCTTTTTAATGAATAAAATAATATAACAAAAATATATAGAAATTTTGAATTTTTTCAGTAATTTGATGAACCATTTATTGAGGCTTGACCAGTGCTCAAATTAGGAAGTAGCGCATGGGAACTCGGCTCCTAAACTAGCTTTTGATATTAATTAGCGTTCCCATATTACATTTTTCTAAAAGAACGCACTGGTATGCAATCGGGCAATATAAAATATAAATGACAACAAAATATTTATTTTTTTTTTGTATATTGTACCTATACGTTTTTTAATTGAATTTCCTACTTATAATAATTTTTTTTTATTTAATTCAACTAGGTAAAAAAAAATTAAAGTTTGAAGTGATAAAATGTGTTAATATATTAACACTTTGTCAAAAACAATATACATTAGGATTTATTTAACATAAAATATGATGATAGTAATAAAGGGGTGTGGGAGGCAAAGCCCCCCATGGGTTAGTGTTATATATATGTTCAGTTGGAACGCTGTTTTTTAATTTCTATTTGAGTTTCTATTTTTTTAATTTACCAATTCTAGCACTGGGCCTAACTTAAACCAATATTTGAGAGTATCACATTGACATCTAATGTTAGCCATAATTTATGAATTTTTGGTATTGTCTAAAAAAATGTAAAGAATTAGTACTAATTAGTTCTGGTATTAATATTAATACAAAATAATTGTGATTGATTTAAGTACTTATTGAATTAGGTATTTTCTTAATTTACTAACATATTATGCTTTATTATTTAATCAAGAGCTAATTTAATTATTCAACTTTAATGTTTGGTAAGTATCTATACATTTTTTAGATTAAAAAAAAATACATTATATTGTCTATATAATTTTTTATTGGTTACCCGAATTTTTAATGCTATTTATAAATACATTAAAAATAAAAAAATTATATGAAGTTAAATTCTTTCAACTTTTTTTACTACCTATTGATTTATAATTTATATTTTCACTATTCAAATACATGTTAAACAATGTTTTTTAGCATAATAATTAATATTCTAACACATTTTTAAATTTTGTATTAGTACAAGTGTAAGTTACTTAAAAAAGGTAAGTATGCCGCTTAACTTGTTCCTTAGGAATATAATTAAGTCAATTTTTCAAATTGAATTACTTAACTTAAAAAAAAGTTCTTGGGTTTTTCTCAAACTTCTAATCTATTATCTTACTTACTTAAGAATATATCAAAAGTTACTTATATTGGTAATCTAAACAAGATGTAAAACAAATTATTTGATTTTTTAAATTGAGGATTGATTAGTTATTTAATTAATAGGTATAGAGATTACTATCCTAATTAAAATTTAAGTATCATTAATTTTAAATAAATAGAAGTAAAATAGATTTTTGTGAAATATTGAATTTTTTATGTAGTTTAGTTAATAATACTAAGGATAAACATTAAAACTTAAAAAAAGCCGTTTATTATTATATAGCATAGATATTCTTAAACCTTAGTAGGTTATTTAAATTTAGAATTTTTAACTATAATTTATCATTTTATTAATTATTATTATCTATTATCTAGATAAAGAATGTTATTTTCTCGTTTAAATTTTATTTAAAAATAGGTAATAATTAAATATTAAATAGCTTTTGCTGTATTGCGTTAAATGATCAAAATTTTATTAATAACATATAAAAATAATACACAAAAATATATTTTATAAAATTTAATATTATATAAAATATATTATGTATTTTAAAATATACTAAATATCTGTTCATACTCATTCTAAAATATGTATATTTTGAGATGAGTTTCAATTATCTTAAAAATATGTTCAAAACTTAATTGCAGTTTAAATTTAAAAAAAAATATATACATATAAAATGTTGATAATATCATTTTTCAACAATTTTTTTATTATGTTAACTATTATTGAGATTACTTATAAAAAGTATTACATTTTTGTTAATTGAAAAACATTATTTAATGTATTACAAACACTGCATTGTTGTCGTTTCAGTATCACATTATTTATATTAAATACATAATATTATATTTATGCATACTTCATATATTTTGATTAGGTACATTTATTAAACTGTTAAACTAGAGGTTCCCAAACTGTGCGCCACGGCGGCCTGGTGCGCCGCGGCTGTGCCTCGCTATATTATGTGAAGCTGGGTTTTTAGCGATCCGCTGTGATAAAAAGCAAATATTGGTTAAAAATCAAAGTGGAAAAGAAAATGAGAGTAGCAGTATCAAGTTTGATCCCAAGATTTGAAAAACTATGTAGTGATGTCCAGGTTCATTCATTTCACTAATTCAATTGTTTTCTAAAAATAAACTAAGTCTAATTTACTTTACCTAATAAAATTAAAATTAAATAATTCAGTATATAATTATA